TCTCTCTCTCTCTCTCTCTCTCAAAATAATAAACTTAAAAAATAAATAAAGAGACAAACGTTTATTCTGCAAAGAAAGAATGCTATTTAGCAAGTAGATTTGTATGTGTTCATGCCCCGAACTAGAGCCTGATCTTGCCTCCTAGTTCAGTGTATTGATACTCAGAACACATTGCTATAATCGCTGACCTTTATCTTCTTCTTCTTGCTCCGTAAGTTTTCCCGTATTTGTTTTCTTTGCCCTGCATGGCTTAGTAACTTACCTACATGGGATTAGTCAAGCAGACATGGCATGGGCTGGGCAGGGTCACCAGGGTAAGGAGGCTACAACCTTAGAAAGCTTGGTGTTCTACTCACACTGGGCCGATCAGAGCCCCGGTACACACATACTTTTATAAAGGCCATACATGTTCAGAGATTTGCAAACTACTGGATATATAAAGGTGAAAATTTAGATCTTCCAGGATCCCACCCCAATGTTCCTGGCAATACTTTGATTTTAAATATGTCTTTCTAGCTCTTCCTGTATGCTTAAGTATTTGTGTGTGAGTTTAATCAACGGAGTTGATTTTTCCCATCAAACTGTGACAATGTCTACTACTTGTGAGGGGTTCTGGGGTGTTTGCAGGTACGTCGTAAAAAAAAAAAAAAGTTATTTTTAGTCTCTACTTTTAAAAATTTGTTTGATTTAAGTTTATTTACTTATTATTGAGAGAGACAGGAAGCGCACAAGCTGAGGAGGGGCAGAGAGAGAGGAAGACCCAGAATCCAAAGCAGGCTCCAGGCTCTGAGCTGTCAGCACAGGGCCTGACGCGGGGCTCGAACTCCCCAGCTGTGAGATCATGACCTGAGCTGAAGTCAGAGGCTTAACTGACAGAGCCACCCAGGCGCCCGTCAAAAACTTTTTTAGCCTATAAGCTCCTCACATTCCAAAAACCAGCATGTATTTATTTCTGAGATCTGTTTTCAGTGATTCATTCATTCATTTATTCAAACACATGGAGTCTCTGTCCCAAGAGGGTCCTATGCTAGAAGAGCAAGAATACAGAGATGAGTGTGTCAAGGGGCTTGCCCTCAAGCAGCTCCACAGTGTGGTTCGTGTATACAAATGAGTAATCCACGGTGCTGTGTACCACAGTAATGGATGCACAAAAGTAGTGATCAGCTATGGTTGGAGGTTAAGCCAGAGTCATCTTTTTAAAACACAAATCTAGTAATGACATAAGTATTTATAACCAAAGAAATCACACTGAACACTTTGCAACCCGAATCATGCTTTGTTCACTTGATGTTGTAATATGAGCCCTTTTCCATGCCTGTTTGTTTTTTTAATGTTTATTTTTGAGAGAGAGGGATAGAGCATGAGCGGGGGAGGGGCAGAGGGAGAGGGAGACACAGAATCCCAAGAGGCTCCAGGCTCTGAGCTGTCAGCACAGAACTCGACGCGGGGCTTGAACCTACAAGCCATGAGATCATGACCTGAGCCTAAGCTGGTCACTTAACTGACTAAGCCACCCAGGCGCCCCACGTGCCTCATGTTTTCAATAATTTTTCAAGTTGTTTTTAATGGCCGCAGAATATATCTTGCTTTAATTTACTTAATCATTCTAGTTGTTGGTTATGTAGGATGTTTTTAATTTCTCCTTATTACAAATAAGGCTCCAACGAAATCTATAAACTTAACTCTTGTCAGCATTTTAGATGGCTTCTTCCAGATTTGGGTCTGGATGTGTCCATTTCGCCTTATTCTTGTCAAGCTTTTTTTTTTTTTTTTAATGTGAACTGCTCTAATTTTATAGGTGAAAGTTGGTATTTTACTTTATTTAATAGAGATGACTTCTCAGGGAACCTGGCTAGCTCAGTCAGTTGAGCATGTGACTCGGGGTCGTGGGCTTGAGCCCCACATTGAGTCTAGAGATCACTTTTTAAAAAAATGTATTTCATTTCATTTGACCCTTAAAACAACCTATAAGTAGGTAGGACAGATTTGCCCATTTCAAAGATAAGGGAGTCGAGAAATTACATGGATTATACAGCGTCTCAAATTTCTTAATTAGAGGATTAAGACCATGCTGCTAAGACAGGACTATCAGATTATCAGGGAAATCTGAATTAGAGCCCTTCGTTTTGCAAGTCATAAGTGAGTATCGTTTCCCATATGATGTTACCAAAAAAAAAAAGCTCCCTCTGATTTGCAGCACTCTCTCTGAGAGATGAAATGACTTACCCAAAGGCACACTGCTGGTAGGTGTAGAGTTTTGTTTTACATACTCCTCCCAGATCTCTCTTTTTCACCCTGCTCCTGGAAGAATCTTCCCACTAAGAATTTTTACTTGCTAGACCCTTCCCAAGATACAAGTCTTACCACTTAGAGATTCCAAATTCTGCCTCTTGGTGCTTGGCAAGGACCAGTAAACAGTGTTCTTGGACCCAGCAGACACCAGCCTTGCAAATACCCTCTTTCCATAGTGGCGGTCCCCATTCTGTCTCCATTCCATCTCACCTTTCTAAATGTCTGTCTGCTTGAGAAAGTAGCTCTTAACAAACACAGGAGGGGTGGGCGTATTGCTGTTCTTTTTTTTTTTTTTTATATTTTTTTCAACGTTTTTTATTTATTTTTGGGACAGAGAGAGACAGAGCATGAACGGGGGAGGGGCAGAGAGAGAGGGAGACACAGAATCGGAAACAGGCTCCAGGCTCCGAGCCATCAGCCTAGAGCCCGACGCGGGGCTCGAACTCACGGACCGCGAGATTGTGACCTGGCTGAAGTCGGACGCTTAACCGACTGCGCCACCCAGGCGCCCCATTTTAAACCCTAAGTAGTGTGGATTTTTTGCAGTGTTTCAGGGCCCATATGACTTAAAAGTTTTAAAAGATGTTCTTTATAATAAATTCCAACAATAACAAATGTACATAAAGATAGTCTTTCCTTCTTATCCAACCTTCCAGAAGTGATCACTATTAATAATATGGTGTGTGTCTTTCTAAACTTTTTCTTTGTAGATACGTAGATTCATATATGTGAGTATTTGAGTGTGTGCATATGTTTTCTGCATTGTGTATTTTCTGAGGCTTGCTTTTTTCAACGTTAGATCTGAGACATCTTTCCCAATCAGTGCATTTAGATTCATACTTATTAAAAATAGTTGTGTTAGTATTGCATCAAATTGCAGGATCAGATATGTGCATTTTAAAAAACAAGACGTTTTAAGTGAAGGACGTAGTCTCATAGGTGCATCCGATTTTAGGCCTGTAGTGAAATAACCTTGAGCAAGTTATTTATTTTTTCTTAGCCTCAGTTTCCCTATCTATAAAATGAAGATAGAAATACGTTGTGTAGTTGTGAGGATTCAAATCATGCATTCATTTAGATGTTAGGGTCCTTCTGCTTGTATTGGCTAATGGTGTTCTATAAACTGGGAAGCCTTTAGTATGAGTTCACCACGAGAATAATCTAGAAAGAGATGTGTGCTTATCTTTGTCTCTTCCTCACTCACCTTAGTGATATTTCTGAGTCTCTGCTTGATAAGTGCCTCTATACCAACCACTCCCCTCACCCTGACATCTTGATCCGGACTTCTGGGGAAGTGAGGCTCAGCGACTTCTTGCTCTGGCAGGTAAGTCGTTTGCAACCACCTTTGTGTTTATGTCAGCCTGAAAGCCATGACTGTGCCCACAGGGCGGATTAAGTGGGGCTCATCCCCACCCCAAGCTGTGCTAATACCAGAGAACCGGGGTTGTGGGGTTGGGGGAATCTGGAGAAGTGTGTCCAGACTGTGCCTGGGAACATTTGCTGTCCCTTCCTCATCTGTCCCTGGCTTTGCCAGCCTGGGTGGTTCTTGCTGTCTAAAGTGCCTAGAGGAAAATCAAGGCTATCCAGCTGTGATGCAGACCTCACTTGTGCCCCTGTTCAAAGCACTGGACTTCTGCCCTGTCCCTGAGCATAAGCTGCTGCCCTGGCAATCTAGCAGTTACTTCAGCGCCTCTGAGCTGGAACCTTGCGTTGGGTTCGAGCAGTTACTCATCTGTCTCCTTCAGACTAATGTCCGCGTCTATGCAAGCACAGTCCACAAGGAATATAAACTCTATGCAGACTCTTTCTTAGGGGCCTGCTGTTGCCTCTCAGCTCCATTACCCCAGTGTAAGTGGTCCCCCTAAAGCTCACAGCCGAATCAGTTTGCGTTTGCTAGAAAATCCCCGTCATCTGTTAACTTGGCCCCTAAGTGGCACATGACTGTAGGAAGTCCTTGTTCAAGGAGAGGTCGGAGGGACTCCACTTAGAAGCAAGTTCCAGAAATTTTTTTTTTTTTTTTTTTTTTTTTAAATTTTTTTTTCAACGTTTTTATTTATTTATGGGACAGACAGAGACAGAGCATGAACGGGGGAGGGGCAGAGAGAGAGGGAGGCACAGAATCAGAAACAGGCTCCAGGCTCCGAGCCATCAGCCCAGAGCCTGACGCGGGGCTCGAACTCACGGACCGTGAGATCGTGACCTGGCTGAAGTCGGACGCTTAACCGACTGCGCCACCCAGGCGCCCCAAGTTCCAGAAATTTTAATGGACTATAGTCTTAAATGATTTAGCTACTGAAGATACTTTCAGCCTTTGGCTATATTGAAAGAAAGCATGTGCAGCTTACGTTTCTGTGGTCTACTCTGCTGGTCAGATCATGTCTGGAAAGTTTACTTCTGGGCACTGAGTTTTAAAAGACTGCATTGGTAAACTGGAGGATTTAACAGAGCCTGTCAACCTGGATGCCAAGGAATCTGGAACTCATGTCATATATAAGGAATGAGTGAAGGATAGAGGTCTGAAAAAGGGAGGCATGGTGACAGTTTATTCCCTCGGAAAAAAATAGAGTTCCTCCTTTGTGCTGGGAATATGGCAATGGCCACGTCAGAAATAATCCCTGCTGTCTTCAAATTTATAGTTGGCAAAGGCAAACTGAACAAGTCATTACAACCTTGAGGACAAATAACAGGCAGCTGTAATCTAGCCTTCAAATATTTGAAAGAATGTCGCTTTGAAGAAGAAACAAACTTGTTCCAGAGAAAAGACCGGAGACCTTGGTAGAAGTTCCAAGGAAGGTGACATTGGTTTTGCATAACAAGCTGTCTGACAACTCAAGTTGTCCCTCTTGAGGCACTGAATTCCTCACTACTGAGGGGATCAAGCAGTGGCTGTCAAGATGTTCCAAAAGGGATTCGTATATCAGTGATTATTATTAAAGTTCACCCAGCTCTGTAGTCTGTTTTACGTACATGATCTCGTTTAAGTTTCACAGTACTGTAAAAACCAGGTATTCTTATTACCCAGTCTTACAGTCAAGGAGACTGAGGCCCAGAGAGGTTAAGTAACTTGCCTCAGGTCAAATGGATGGTAAATGCTGGAGCTAGGATCCAAAGCCGGGCAGTCTGGCCCCAGAGCCCGTGATCTTAACCACTGTGCCCTGCTCTGCTACTTAAAAATAACAACAGCAGCTACCATTTGTTCGTTGCTGACTTTTATCAGACAACATGTCTCCCAGATGACCTCTAAGGGCCAAGAGCCAATAACATAATCCAGATGTTATTTCATCGTCCTAAAATTGGCTCTTAGAAAAATCCTGGTGGGAATGTTGATCTAGTCTTGCTTTAGTTCTGCCTCGCTGCGGGCAGGTGCCTCAGATGACCCCTCCCCACGAGTGAGGTAAATTGGGGCTGGCAGCGGAGGCAGCGGCAGCTCAAGGTGCCTGTGTCAGCTCATCTCCGGGCTCCTGGGTCATGCTCAGCCCGCTCCTTTGGAAGCCTGACCCAGAGGGTGTTCCAGCAACCTGCTACTAAACTATACTGTCTTCCTTCCCCCGCTTACCAGACCTCCCACTCCTGCTTGGTGTTCCAACCCGTTCTGTGGCCGGAATACACATTTTGGAACCTCTGTGAGGCCCTCCTGCAGTACCAGATGAACCATAGCATGCTCCAGGTAAGAGCTCAGGGCTGGTCTGACTGGATGTGAGAGAAGAAAAGGTTAGCATTGATTGACCACCTACTACTTACACAAGGCACTTGCTACTAAGCATGTTAGTGATGATAGTAGCTACAGCTTATTTACTGTGGTCAGGCACTGTGAACATTTTATAGGTACCATCTTGTTGAATGCCCCCAAGATCCCAATGACGTAGGTATTATCAGCCCCACTCGTGCAAGTGAATACATCGAAATTATTTTGTTAAGGACACATAACCAATAAGAGACGGAACTGGGGTTCAACTTACACATCTTTAGTCTCTTTGCCACAGAAACCCAGGAAAGGCTTCTCGGTGAGCTTGTCCGTTATTTCCTGACGGTATTAAGCTAATCAAAGATTGTAGAAGTGGGAGTATGCGAGATTCAAGCCTCTTCCAGAAGGGATTAAGGACAAGATAGCACTGTCTTTCTATTATACAAAATTGTGTTCTGCCAAGAGTTGAAGTTCAGCTTTGATCACCAGATCTTGAAACAGGTTTTGTTCGGAGGCAGAGTCGCCGGCATCTGATGAGCATTCTTAATAATCATAATGGGAGTGTGTGTGATGATGGCGGCTAACTTTGAGGGTCTCCTGAGGCACTTCCTTGTTTTCGCGGAAGTTTTCTCATTGAACCCTTCCAGCAATCCCACAGGTTTGGTGTCTTCATTTTCCAAGTATGGAAAGAGAGGGGCAGAGTAACTGTCTCCAGGCCACAGATTTTGGAACCCTTAGCTGGTGCTGGTGCTTGAGTCTAGAGAGATAATGGCCAGGAGGAAACAATGATGTTAAGTTAAGGCTTCTTAATCCTCTTGGAGAATCTGATGAAAACCGTAGACCATCTCCCTAGAAAAGTTGCATAGATCACACCCAACATGTGGCATTTTGCGTAGGATCCTACCTATCACTGAAACACTTAGTTCACATAACCCCTAGAACCTGTCCATGAATCCCAAGTCCAGAATTCCTGGAATAAGTCCATCAAATCACGAAGCTTTGGTCATATGCTTCGTCAGTTTTCTCAGAATATGAGGAATTGAAAGAGGAAGTTCTGTTGAAGTAAAGGGAAAAACAACAGTCTCAATTATCCACCCTCAGTGGGGAAGGAGTATCAGAATTTTCTACATGACCAAAGCTCCTTTAAGAACCAAAACTTTTGTCTGTCCTTTTTGTTTTGCTCTATCCTTTTTTGATGGGAAACTTTCTGAAATGTGTCTTGTACATAATCCTTGACACCTATATACCAGGCCCTTGCTAACGATGATGATGATTAGAATAATCACATTCTAGTGATGCTAATAATGATAATGGCAACTGCCGTCTTGAAGCACTTCCTTGGACAGCGATGCCCTTGAAGGGGGGACTGTTTGCCCAAGCTAGATGGTCCCCAAATACTTGGCTTTGGGATTTCTTGTATGCTTTTGTACGTCTTCCATCTCCTTTTTTTTTTACCAGTCAAGAGGCTAATTTTGGCAGCATCCCACCTTCTCTTCCTAGTTACTGATTTAAATCAGCTATAGGCAAGGAAACCAGTCAGTCAAGCTTGTTAGAAATATGTCTATGAAGTAAGAGTAAACGGTCTCTGAAGCCCAGAGAATTCTTGGTGCCTGAGCTTTTGTGTATGGGTATTCTTATCTCTGGTTTGGCTGTTCAGAAGCCTTTTATAGTAATTTCGGGTTTCTGAGATGCTCTCCCACATGGCTGTCAGAGGACTCAATTTCATTCATTGCATTCTTCTCTAGTGCCTAGTATAAGTCAGGTACTAGAGAGTCCCTACCTTCGTGGAGCTTATAATCTTACTTGAGGAAGATAATAACCTAGTCAACAAATATGTAAGATTATTTCAGATTGTGATAAAGCCACAAAGTAGAGTGGTGTGCTAGTAATGAAGAAAGCAAGAGATACTGAATGGAGCAGCCAAGGAAGTCCTTTCTGAGGAGGTGGTTTTTATGCCATGATATAAAAGACGAGAAGTAGCCAAACGTGTGAAAACCTGGGGGTAAGGAATTATTCTCTGCAAAAGGAACAGCAGTGCGAGGATACGGAGGTTATCAAGTTTGGGTCGCGGAAGAACAGACAGGCCAGCATGCGTGAGAGAGAAGGGTGTGGGGCAGGCTGGGAGGGAGTCAGGCCTCTGGTTATATAGAGCCTGTGGGCAATGGCACCACATCTGAAGAATTTCGATCAAAGGACTGACAGGATCTGATTTACATTTTGCAAAAATCACTCAGGATTTTCAGGGAGGCAGGAGTCAAGGACCAAGCTCCTACAGTAGTCCAGGTGAGAGAATGTGCTTCG